CGAACACGAGAGCAAAACCAGTACTGTGGCCAAAATGCCCATAGCCGGCCTGTGTCAGCACTCCTTCCACTGCCTCCTCCTGAGGATCTACACCGGTTTTAACAATCACACGTGGTTTTACTTTCAGAAGCTAACAAAAATGGAGCAATGAAAAGAGTTCTGCATAGGCTGGGAAGGGATCCAAATCCTTTCCCTCATGTTAAACTAGTTCTGACCTCTGCCTTGCCACAAACATCCAGATCCTGGAAGATGGCACATGTGAATTAAATGCTGCATGGCTCAGTAACTCCCAGGGAAGCCCAGGCAGCCAAAACGTGGCACTCATGTACGCCAGTGCCCAGAACCGGGCATTAGTGTCATTCCACCAAAATGGAAATGAGAAAAACCCAATACCCACCCTAAAGCAAAAAAAAGTAGTACTTCACTTATATGTTTTATCTTACATGATACAAACACGAACATAAAATACAAACGTACGCAAATGAAATAAAGAACTGTCAAAATTTTGGCCAGCTTCATGGGAAACAGATGACACTCTTTTTCCTTCGAAAACAACAGAAAAGGTTACAGAGAAGAAGCTCCCTTGAAAGAAGTCTCCTCAGGAAGAGTATATCCTCAACAAAAAGCTTAATCAGCAAAATTTCTACTACGTGCCTGGCACGCTACAAAAAGATCAACGTTTATATTTCTTCATAGGACAAGCTAGAAAAAAAAATCCAAGCTAGTCCTTTCACTGACCCATTTGCGCTCAGAAAACGCTGTGGTGGGAAGCTAGCACGATGATAAACACGGTTTTAACAGCCTATGTTTAGGCTAACGAGCCTTTTAAAAGGTGTTTAATCCACCCCTAAGACCGCAAACAGATGATACCTCTATGCAAGCCCCCGGTCCCCTCACAGGGAAACTGGCTTCCCGCCAACAACCGCACCCGACCGCTTGGAGTCCCCCCGCGGGGGGGGGGGGCCCCCCCCCGCCGCGCTGAATATCCCGGCAGGGAAGGCCCCTCCTGCCCTGCCCTGCCCTCCCGAGGGCGGGGAGCGCCGGGCTCCCACCTCTCCTCTGAGGGACGCCCCCCCGGGGACCCGCGCCCCCTCCACGGGGACAGCAGCACCTGCTCGGCCCAGCGCCCCCGCCTCGCCTCGCCTCGCCTCGCTCCGCTGTACCCGCCGCCCCCCGC